GTCCTCCTTGGGCATTGCACAGTTCGGGTGCACTTACCTACATGCGGGCAATACACGCATACACATAAAATAAAAATTAAAAAAAAATTTTTTTTGGTCTTTTGGAGACAGGGTCTCCCTGTAGCCCCAGCTGTCCTGGAACTCACTATGTAGACCAGGCTGGCCTTGAACTCAGAGATCTGCCTGCCTCCGCTTTCCGAGCAGTGGGATTAAAGGTGTGTGCTACCACGCCCACCCATAAATTTTTTTTTTTTTTTGTCTTTTTTGAGACAAGGTCTCCCTGTAGCCCCAGCTGTTCTGGAACTCACTACGTAGACCAGGCTGGCCTCGAACTCACAAAGATCTGCCTGCCTCTGCCTCTCAAGTGCTGGGATTAAAGGCGTGCACCACCACGCCCAGCGCCATAAAATATTTTTTAAAAAGAACACTTAAGTTTTTTGCAGCAGACTTGCATTAAATTCCCAGCACTCACATCAAATGACTCACAATCACCTCTAATTCTAGCTTCAAGGAATCAGATGCCCTCTTCTGGCCTCCAAGGGCATTGCACTCACCTACGCAAAATCCTGCCTCCCTAATTTATAATAAAATAATAATAATAATAATAATAATTTGGGCTTGGTGGCACAAGCCTTTAGTCACAGGACTCAGAAGACAGAGGCAGAGGTAGGTGGATCTCTGTGAGATCAAGACCAGTCTGGTCTACATAGCAAGTTCCAGGTCAGCTGGGGCTACAGGGAGACCCTGTCTCAAAAAAAACCCAAAATATTTTCTTGGTTATTTTTGTTTTTGAGACAGAGAGGTCTGCCTCTGCCTCCCGTGTGCTGAGATTAAAGGCATGCACCACCATGCCTGGCTAAATAAAATATTTTAAAATAATGACAAGGGGGACAGCTAGTGCGGAAACACAGACACACACACAGACACACATACACACAGACACACACACAGACGCACACACACACAGACACACACACACACACACAGACACAGGCACAGACACACACACACACACTAAATGAAGGAAAACCCCACTGATTTACAGTGTGCTGGAGAACCTGCCTCAGCCCCCCAGGCTATTGCTGGCAATTGGTCACTGTGATTGGTTTTAAAAGTTCATTCCAGGGGCTGGTGGTGGCTGAGCAGGTAAAAGTGCTTGCTGTGCACACAGGAGGACCTGAATTCAAACCTCCTGTATCCACATTAAGAGAAAAAGCCAGGCATAGTCACCTACTGGGCTTGCTGGTTACCAGCCTGGCTCCAGGTTCTGTGGGGGATACTGTCTCTCAAGGGAGAAGGTGGCTCATGATATAGCTCGGACCTCTACTGCTGGCAGATTTGGCACTCAGCGGAGTTGTAACCAGGTTGGCCTGGGTGAGTAGCTAATCATGTTGCTGAGCCATGCATAGCCTCCAGCCCCACCATCATCACCACTTTGTTCATGGGCCCTATTGTCAATGACAGAGCTATTCAGTAAAGAGGCTGACTGCCCACAGAACTAGTCACATTTGAAAATCCCTATGTGCTGGGTTGGTGAAATGGCTCAGTGGGTAAAAGAGCTTGCTGCCAAGACTGACAACCTGAGTTCAAATCCCAAGGACCCACATGGTGGAAGGAATGAACAGATTCACACAAAATATCCATCAACCTCAGCACACATACTGTGGCATGGGCTTCCCTCTCAAAAATAAAAATTTTGAAAATCCTCCAGTGCTGAGGTCACCTCTTAAGTGTTCATCCATATAGAACAGCACTATGTTAGAGTTCCCCACTCCCAGCCTTGAACTCTTGAGTCCCGTCCCTACCTCATAGATGCTGAAGTGACAGGCATGTGTCACCATGCCTGGATAGTTTTGATTTTGGTGGCCATGTGCAGCATCATTCAGAGTATGTGAAGTCTCCCTGACAGGCACGTCCAGATTAAAATGTGGTTTGTCAGGCCGGTTGTGGTGGCACACGCCTTTAATCCCAGCACTCAGGAGGCAGAGGCAGGCAGATCTCCATGAGTTCGAGGCCAGCCTGGTCTACATAGCAAATTCAGGCCAGCAGTAACTACAGGGAGACCCTGTCTCAAAAAGACCACAAAAATATATTTTGTGTATGAGGGTTTTTTAAAAAATATTTTATTTTTATGTGCATGAATGTATTGCCTGCACATGTTTAAGTGCACCTGTGTCACGTAATGCCTGTGGAGGACAGAAGAGATTGTCGGATCCCCTGGGACTGGAGTTACGGACAGCTGTTAGCTGCCATGTGGGTGCTGGGATTCAAAGCCGGGTCTTCTGCAAGAACAGCAAGAACAGTCAGTGTTTTTTTTTTTTTTTTTGAGACAGGGTCTCCCTGTAGCCCCAGCTGTCCTGGAACTCACTATGTAGACCAGGCTGGCCTCAGACTCACAAAGATCCACCTGCCTCTGCCTCCTAAGTGCTGGGATTAAAGGTGTACACCACCACACCCGGCTAACAGTCAGTGTTCTTAACCGCTGAGCCATCTCTCCAGCCTTTTTTTTTGAGATTTTAAAATATTATATTTGTGTCTATATGCAGGTTTGTGCATGTGTGAGCGCAGTGCCTTTGGAGTCCAGAATTGGGAGTCGGATTCCCCAGAGCTGGAGTTACAGTCAGTTGTCAGCTGCTTGATATGGGTGCTAGGAACTGAATTCCATCCTTTGCAAGAGCAATAATAGCACTGGTAACCTCTGAACCAGATGTCCAACCCGTTTTTTGTTTTTGTTTTGATACAGGGTATGTAGCCCTAAAATGGCCGGGATCTTGTATAGTTCCTGACCTGGAACTCATTATGTTGCCTAGGTTGGCCTCGAACTTGCTATTTGGCTGAGGATAATCTTGAGCTTTCAAGTGCTACCATACTCACTCAGTTCATGCATTGCTGGAATAAATAGTGCATGCTAAGCAAGTACTCCATCAACTGAGCTACAAACACTCTACCAATTGAGCTATAAAACATTCTACCTACTAAGCTACAAGCGCTCTACCCACTGAACCCCAGCCCTAGACTTCTGGTCACTTTTTCATGGATCTTCCTGGTGTCTTTAGTAAGCTCATGCTCCAATTTGCCCAAGGGATTGGCTCTAGGGTACTCTCCAGAATAGATACACAGAACATTTCTCATCCTCTAGCTAAACCAAGGGTTATGGCCCATGACTCAGTATATAATTACAGGTCTGGCCATTTCTCCTTCCAAAGTCCCTTATTTAAAAGAAAGAAATAAGAAAAAAAATGGATGCCATGTTTGCATGCTCTGTGATTTAGAACTCCTAAGACCATGGCTGTTGTTGTTATAGCTTACTATGTAGAGGACAGTGCTGAAAGATAATCAACATATCTACTATATACTTTTATTGTCTTTTTGAGGCAGGGTCTCCCTGTAGCCCCAGCTGTCCTGGAACTCACTATGTAGACCAGGCTGGCCTTGAACTCACAGAGATTTGCCCGCCTCTGCCTCCCGAGTGCTGGGACTAAAGGTGTGTGCCACCATGCCTGGCGAAAAATAAATCTTTTATTACATGGCTGCTCTAGTTCCACAGGCTCCTATGCCCTCTTGTGGCCTCTGAGAGCACTGAACCCAGGTCCATATACTCACAGATACACAGAGTTGAAAAAACGAATTTTCAAACAAAGCTGCCAGGCATGGTGGCACATGCCTTTAATCCCAGCACTTGGGAGGCTGAGGCAGGCTGATCTCTGTTAAGTTTGAGGTCAGCCTGGTCTACATAGCCAGTTCCAGGCTAGCTGGGACTACAGGGAAACCCTATCTCTAAAAGCAAAACAATTAAATTTTTTTAAAGTTCATTTTTTTTCGGGGCTGGAGAAATAGCTTAGCCTTTAAGAGCTCTGGCTGCTCTTGCAGTGGACCAGCGTTCAATTCCAAGCACCCACATGGTGGCTAACTCCATAAATCCAGTTCTAGGGAATCTGATACCCTCTTCTGGCCTCCTCAGGCATGCACTTACATACATGCAGGCAAAACACTCATACACATAAAATAATAACTTTTTTTCATCGTCATGACAAATATGAAGCAAAAAAAAAAATCATAGAACCCTGCAAGCTTAGGAAGGCACCCTGCTGTGTGAGCAGAACTCCCTGGTGGAGCTCAAGTATACGGAGATTCCCAGTCTGGAGTTACAGGCAGTTGTGAGATGCCTGATGAGGGTGTTGGGAATTGAACTCAGCAAATGCTCTTACCCACTGAGCTATCTTTTCAGCCCTATTTATCGTTATTATTATTATGACTACTACTACTACTATTACTACTACTACTACTACTACTACTACTATTTGTTGTCCTTTTGAAACACAACCTAACTGTGCAGCCCCAACTGACCTGGAACTTGCTATGTAGACCAGGCTGGCCACCATCTCACTGAGAGTGCCTGCCTCTGCCTCCCAAGTGCTGGGATTAATGGCATGTGCCACCACGCTTGGCAGCTTTATTTCAACCTGGGGCAAACAGACAAAAACAAAAAAACAGAAGAAGAAATAAAGAACGGAAGAAAGAAAGAAAAACATCTCACAGGGGCAGTCTCCGCCTCAGGAGGGCCAGGCATAGCAGGGGCTATCGTTACTTGGCAGGGTCCCCAAGTGACTTCATATTATAGATGGGGAAACTGAGGCCCAAGGGATGCAGGTGCACCATCTCTGCCCCCCGCCCCCACGAGCCTTCGCCCGAAGATGTTCTGTGCCAGCGTCTGAAGAATTAGCCAAGCTGCTCGCTAGCGGGGACTCCGCAGCTGCGCCTGCGCACGACCAAGCAGCGGTTGGGGCGGGGCCAAGCCGTGCGCCGCGGCCCTCAGGGCGGTTGAAGCTGCGCCCATCTGCGCATGCGCACGCGCGCCCCCTTCCTCCCGCTCAGCTCCGGGTGCCGGGGCGTGGTTGGCTGCGTCCCGTGAGGAGCGCGCGCGCCTGCGCGGGCCTCGGGCTCGCGCACGCGCACCTGCGCCGACGTCGGGTTTGCGCACGCGCACGGCGGCGGCGGCGGTTCCTGTCGAGGGGGCTGTGAGCGGGCGGGCGGCTTCGAGTCGAGCGGCGGTGCGGAGGGGTGCGGCGGCGACGGCGGCTCTGCACTCGCGGTCGGTGGCCCGACTTCTGCTCTCGGCGGCCGATTCGTAGGTTGCCCGGCTCTGAGGCGGCGGCGGCTCGGGGTTTCGGCCTAGGCCTCTGCGAAGCCTCGGACTTGAGTGCGGCGCGGCCGGGACGGCAGCATGAGCGTGGAGGCGTACGGGCCCAGCTCGCAGACGCTCACCTTCCTGGACACCGAGGAGGCCGAGCTGCTTGGCGCCGACACACAGGGCTCCGAGTTCGAGTTCACCGACTTCACCCTCCCCAGCCAGACTCAGACGCCCCCCGGCGGCCCGGGCGGCCCCGGCGGAGCAGGAGGCCCGGGCGGAACAGGCGCGGGCGGCGCGGCCGGCCAGCTCGACGCGCAGGTGAGTGGCGCGGCGCTGCGCATGGCGGCGCCGGAAGCCGGCACGGGCTGGCTGGCGCTAGAGCTGTGGAGCTCGGCCTCTGTTACCCTCCCTGCTACCTGTCCCGGATCCCCGCTACCTGTCCCATCCCTACTTCCTGCCTCGGTTGTCTGCTACCTGTCCCGGGTCCTTGCCACCCACTCCCATCTAACCTGCCCCAACTACCTATCCCAAGTCCCTTGCTACTTCCCTCAGTTCTATGATACCTGCCCTGGGTCACTGCATCTGCACCTGATCTCTACCACCTGCCCAGTTTCCTCCACCCAGCCAGGCTGGGCTGTGACCTGCATAAATGTCCCTCTTTCGTCCTCCTATGCATATCTGTCACGGCTCAAGCCAGATCTTAGGTGACCAGTTCCCCAGTTCCTTTCTGGGTGTGTCTAGGGTGGCTTACCTTATGTCTGTCTCTGGCCTGAGGTGACCTGTCCACAGTTCCTCTCCACTGGGCACAGAGTGCCCTCCTGGGCCACCTCTCTAGCCCAGCCAGTCAGCCCATGGTCGCAGTCATCTGCCCTCCCTAGCCAGGCAAGGCTTGTTGTAGTGGGGACTCCTGGAACAAGTGGGTTGGGTGCCTCCCCTGGAAGCAGCCCTCTTGCTGGCTGTCGGATGGCTGGAGAGGCAGTTGTGGGTTTTTCAGCCCTGTTGCTGAAACCGATGTTACATAACTCCGAGGCCCAGCCTTGGAAAAGTTGGGTTTGAGTTTTGCTCCTCTGAGCTACATCAAGAGTGAATTTCACATTAGTGACTGGACCACCTGGGAAACTTGTTTTGAATGCGCGTAGGCTGTGAGGAAGTATTGGGGGCCCTCCTGTACGGGGTTCCTGCCTGGGCTGGGGCTTACTTGGGTATTTGGGCTGGGGTCCTAGGGACTGTGGCCACCACCCTGTGCCTTAGATGGCCTTGCCCGCAGCTGGCTTGGTGCTCAGCAGTCACTTCTGTAGGCTAGGGAGTAGCTGTGGGGCTGGATCCACAGCCACAGGTGGCTAGCCACTGCACAGCTGGGTGCTCACAGCAGGGTGAGCCTCCTCTGTGAACCCAGAACCTGTTGGTGATGGAAGGCCTCTGAGCTGTTGATTGAGTCAAGCCTGTGAATAGACCACCCACTTGGGCTTGTTTTCAGCCCCTAATAGAAGGAGAGTGGTTGGCTAACAGCTCTGGGGTTACTTGGAAATCTGCACCGGGGCACAGGGGGTGAAGGAGAGCTGTTGGACCACAGCACAGTGGACTGTGATAGGGCAGCTGAGGAGACTGGTGGAAGGTGTTTGCTTTGTCTCAAGACCTTTCAATTCTAGCTGACATGGAACACTGGACTTGCATTGTGCATGCAAATTGCCATGGGTGTGCTCGTCTCTGCCACTTGAAATAATGAAATGCAGAGCCGCCCACCCACCCGTGGCCTCTCCTTCACTGTCTGGGAAGAGGAAGATGGCTTCCATCCTGTGTCTGGGGGCACAAAGTCTGTATGGAATTGGGCAGTGGGAGAAAGAGTTTCTCCCCTGTGCAATCAGTGGCACCAGCTCCTGGAAACATTGGAGAATTTCCTTACTTGTCCCTGTGAGGTGGCCGTGTCACAGCCTCTAGCCAGGGCTCCCTGCCCAGTGGGATGAGCTTTCCCTTGTTGGCCCAGTGGCTGCCTGATGCCCAAGACAGTGCCTTTCCTCCCAGCTCAATAGTGTCATGAAGCCCAGACTCACCCTGCAGCGTGGTAGCCTTTAGTGGATTGACAGCTGGGCAGCCATCACTATTGACTGAAGAACATCTTCTCTGCCCCATGGTTGCTCCCCAGCCACCAGTGATCCCCCCCCCCATCTGCCTTTCAGTGGAAGGTACAGTGTGGACAGATTGCATGGTGGGCAGGCACACTATAGCTGCTTATTCCCCAGCCCTGTGCCTGGCTTGTTGCTTGCTGTGGTGGCCTTGGCGCATCTGCGTGGTAGGGTCCTTGGTGCTTCCCTCCTTGTGACTGAGTGGAGTGGCCTCTTGGTGTGACTGCTGTGGGAGTGCTATGCCTGGCAGGGGGTGGGGGAGGTCAGTGTTCTGGACAAAAGTGCTTGTCCAGAAGTCCTCCTGTGTCCCTCGTGCTTAAGGGGCTGTGGGCCCACTGTCCAGTGTGCAGTCCAGATGCATACATCTGAACTTGAAGTTCAGTGGTGGAAAGGGCTGTCTGGCCAGCAGGAGAGAACCCTAGTTTTCTCTGGAAGGTGCTCTTCAGCTGGCGTGGTCCTGCAGAGTCCCTGAGGTAGAGGGACAGGCTGCTTTTCTCTGAGGGTCCAAAGGTAATTTCAGAAGTTATTTGATCGCAGTGGACGGAAGAAACCTGTGGTCTGCCTGGTTCCTGGTCACTGTTGCCTTTACTCTGAGCAGTGGAAGGGGTGGAAACAGGGCTGATAAGAGAGGGAAAGAGTGTTGGACTCAGGATTCGGGGCCTCTCTGTATGAGGATGAGGTCGTGGAGTCTGGTATGAGAGGCTGAGGAAACCAGGCACAGGGTAGGCACTGGTTGGGGTACAGTGGTAGATCTTCTGGTTGTGATGTCAGGGCTGGTGGAGGAAGACCCTGGCCAGAAGCACTGGCTGTTTGGGAAAGGGGCTCATGCTGCCCTGCTCCACTGTCAAAAGCTTGAGACATAGGCCCTGGGCTGCATATCAGTTACACCTCAGTGAAACAGCTCAGAGCAAAATGAAGAGCCAGACACCACTGTGCACCCACATTGCAGGGGAAGGGGGAGTGTTAAAGACTGTAAGGGCCACCTAGGACTCATATGCTGCTCTGGATGCAGTTTCCACTACTTCCTGGTGACCCATCAGGATGCTGGTGGGCATCATAGGGCCTGATGGAGGGTGATGCTACAAAGTGGGTAGTGGCCTCCGAGCTGACTGTCCCTTCTCCCTTCAGTTCTTCTGAAGTGGGATCCTGGGGGCAGGTGCTAGTTAAGCTCTGGGACTCTGTGGGCCTCTCCCACCTTAGTCACAGTACACAAAGTCTGGCTTTGGGTCTGTTTCCAGGGGTACTGAAATGATGGGTTGCTCCCTAGCATTCAAAGTCATCCCAGCTATCTTCGTCATCCATGGGTGGCTCCTGGCTTACCTGGTGGGGCAGACCAGACCTGCTTCTACCAGGGCTGAGGACCAGGGCCTAGTTTCCTGCAGTGTCCCATTTAGAGTGCCATCCAGGACTGCCCTCTGATTAAAAGGCTATGGCCCCCTCCCCTGCCACAGACCCCCTCAGCTTCTGTATCCTCAACTTTTTCTTGAAGTTTCTTTATCCAGCTCTGTCTAGCTGAGGAGAAGTGAGCCTTCCAGTCACTACAAACAAACCAAGAGCACTTTTCCTGCCTTTGAGGGGCTGCCATGGTCCTCCCTGCACCATGGTTCTGCTCTCCTGGGCTGGGCCTGCGGGGTCAGCATGAGTTGGGTGGTCTAAGTACCTTTCTCATGGTGCCAGTTGGCACAGTGAGGCAGGTGGGAGCCCTGAGGCCCTGGCCTATGTGCCTGGGTGGGACTGGGGCACACCTCTGCATCCACCCTCAAGGTAGCTGGGTGGCAGGGCCACTGGCACAAGGGCCTTAGAGCAGGACCAAGGGGAGGATTGGCAGAGGGTCGCACTGCATGATTGCGTAGAAGGGCCAGTAGGGGAGAGGCAGGGATTCCATGGCAGTGCTGTGATCAGCTGTGTGGGCATGACCAAGGCACCAGAGTAGCTCTGCCCTGACCCCCAGGCTGCACAGACTCCCCTCTGGCCTTGTGAGAAAAGAGGCCCATGGAACTACAGTGTCGGAGCTGGAGGGCCACATTCAGATTGGTGGTCCACAAGTGAGGCAGCGTGCTGGTCACCATGTTTGTTGTGATTGGGATAGTGCCTACAGAGCCTCTGCTTCCTAAGGGGGCTGTGGTAGGCCCCCAGTCTCTGTCACTCACAGCACCTTGGGAACTGATGCCCAAGTCAGGCTCCCAGGGGTCATGCCACAGTGGCCAGGCAGCATGCTGGTGTGTAGGGATTTGTCCCTGCTGGGCCCTGAGGCCGTTGCCCCTGTGCTGGCCATAGGATGTTGAGTCAGAGTTGGACTTGTCACCTTCTGCCATCCAGTGGAATCCTGTCCCAATGTGCCTGTGAGGGGCAAAAGTTGTCATTTCAGAGCCAGCTGCCACAGCAGACCCTCCAAACAGCACAGAGCAAAGGGTCAGAGACTGCATGGTGGTAAAGGGGGCCTTCTTGTCCAGCAGGACTCAGTGAAGTTTAGTTTTGTTGGGGCCTCTGGGGGTCAGACAGTGGCCCTGAGCCTGGGTATGGGATGGGAGGCCTGCTGGGAAGCGTTGTGGACATTGAGCGGGCCTTGCTGGCCTGGGGTGGCATGTGCAAAGGTCCTGGGACACCGAGACAGGCCAAGTGCTGTGATGCACTGAGTCCTGGAGTGCTCCTCTGCTCTCACTTGCAGTAGTGCACAAAGGGTGGGTTCTGTACCTTTCTCTGAGTCCGAGTGCTTTCTCTGTGCTGCTCTGATGCAGGATCTGAGTTCATTAGTGTCCATAGGAGACTGACTACAGGCAGGTAACCACATATGTAGGCTGTGGTCCACCTGATGGCTTCAGGGTAGACTTTGAAAGTAGTGTTAGTCAGAGCTGACTTCTACCATAGTAGGACCCAGCCCTGGGCCCCCGAGTGGGCTGGGGAGCTGGAGCTGAGAGCTTACCTCTTGATATGCTGACATGGGGCTGTGCCCTGGGCCTGCCTGTGGAACCAGCAGCCCTGTGATGGGGCTTTCCTCTGTGCCAGGTGCTGTGCTCCAGTGCTGGTTTAGCCTGTATAGTTTCTGGGGCCAAGCGCACTTCTGCAGCAGCATGAGGGTGTTTGTCCTCACAGTTGCAGAGTGGAGAGATCGCTGCCAGCAATGAGAGGAGTCTGGAATCTTCTTTCCAGCCTGGGCTTTGTGGGATGCCGGAGTCCTCCTGGCCTTGTGTCTGTCCTGAGTTGTCTCCTAGGCCACTTGGGCTTCCTGTCTTTTAGCACCAGGGATGTAATGGCAGTGTGGTAGGCCTGAGACTCCATACCCTCTGCCTGCCTGGGGAGTTGGGACAAGAGTGTCCTGTGCTGTGACTTTGTACCATTTTATGCCCTTGCCTGGGTGGTTCCACATGGAAGAAAGGATGTTTCTTGACATCCTGATTGAAACCTGGTTGGTGCTGTTCTGTGGTGAGCACCTGCCTAGCATGCCTGAGACCATGGGTCTGTCCCAACACCACAGAAACAAGAGCTGTTTCCAGCACCTGGTGAGGAAGTTCAGGGGTCTTCTCAGAAAACTGGCAGATGTTTTCCTAGGGGACTGGATGAGAATATGCTAGGCCCTGCAGGACAAGAAGCCAAATTGGGACCATTATTGAGCTGCTACCCTCCTTCCAGCTCTTTGTTGTAGTCCAGCCTCTGCCACCTGGCCACTCTAGAGACTTGACACTGGAGAGGCTGGCAGAACCTGTCCTGGAGAAGCAGTGACCAACTGTTGAAATTCCCAGCCAGACACCGCATGGAGGACTCACAGACCACAGGAAAGGGTGCAGAATTGCTAGCATCGGGTCACGAGGATGTGGCTCAGGACCACCACAGGATTCCCCCTCTTCTTTGTTTGGATGACTAGAGGACACCAGTTCATGGCAGAGACAGGCAGAAATAGGAGCCCTTGTACCCCTTGGGTGGTAAATGGAGTGGCTTATGGAGAAGCAGTGGCTGCCCAGAGTAGCCAGCATGGTGCTGTGCGGAGTGCATAAGTGAATGGGGGGTGAAGCCACAGTATCCTGAGGATGCACAACCCATCTCATCAGCTGCAGTGGCCTTCCCACTCTGCTCTGCTCAGCCCTGCCAAGGACAGCACTGCTTCCTGGGTTAGACGGGACACCCTGGCCACCAGGGGCCTGTCGTAGGGTCCTAGGGAGCACCCCAGGCCAGCACATCCTGCTCCCCAGGTCTTGCCTGGCATCTCCTTCCTTGTGTTGGGCCCACTTTGCTGGGGCAGAGTGCTGAGGTGTCAGTTTCTGCCAAGAGTGACCCTAGCTGCCAGTGTGAGCTGAAGGTGTGTGGCCTTTGGAAGCTGACATGGCACTTGGGCCACAGTACTGCCTGTCACCTGCTGTGCTTGACACCAGGAGCTCAGAGGCAGAGAACCACAAACTTCCTATGAGGTTCAGCCTGGTGAGGTGGGGCTCTAAGAGAGAAGGGGTCCCATGCCAGTCCACCCACAGGGCATTGTGAGTCTGTTAGTTTGCGTAGTCCCCACTTCCAGGAGTTCCTTGCCTTGTCACACAGAAAGCTTAAAACAGTGGTTGCCATGGCTCTGGGGAGGAAGTGTTCTTGGGCTTCCTGGGACAGGCCTGTCAGAGAGAGAGAGTGACATTGAAATGTGCACTGAGGCCAGGCTGCCTCAGCCTCCCCAGTTGCTAATGTGTGTCACCACACTCTTTTTTTTTTTTTTCTGTGCTTTTGTCAGTTTTAAAGAGGTCAAGAGTGACAAGCCCTTTGTAATGAAGTAGTTCGTGGCTATTGTGTCAAGGTCTAGAAGTTGGGGTTGGGAGAGTCCTGCTGGCTTACATGAAGCCCATGCCTGACTCCATCCATAGTGCTGCTGTGGATGGTGAATCCAGAGGTTGGTTTGGGTTTTACCCATCTGGAAACATTTCTAGACACTCACTGTGCCTCCAGACACTGTGCCGGTCTGCGGAACCTGTGCAGTCACAGGAAACTCTGAGCCCAGCCAAGCACATACCAACAGGTGACTCTCACCATACGCAAGTGCCTTGCCACTTCTCATGGTACCCCGTTCTTAGGGTCTGAGGAGTGACAAGTGAGTGCCTGTGTGTGTCCTGCACAGCCCACGGCTGCAGTGTTGGCTGGGAAGGTAGGCATCACATGCTGGTGGTCAGAGTGTGTCTGTTGTCTCCCTGGTCCTGGTGCTTGGCCTGAGGCCATGGCCACTTCTGGGCCTGGTTTCTGCAGATTTCCTATGCGCTCTGTTGCCAGGAGACAGCCTGTTGCTCCTTTTGAACCAAATGAGGCAGTGTAGTCTCAGTGGTGGGACCTCAGTGTAGGTGTCTTGTGGTAACTTGTGGTAACTTCTGGTGTGGTGCCTCACACCAGAAGGTACAGCCCGGGCATGGAGGGCAATGGCCAGCCAGCATCTCTGCAGCTGGGCCTCGATGGAGGGCTGGTGTGTGTGCCATAGGTACCTTTCTGTCTTGCCCTGCAGAGCTTCATAACAGTGGGACTCAGGCCTTTGGCCCTCAGCTTTGAGAAGGTTTCTCTTGGCTAGATGGCTGTGGGTTCCATGGCCAGATAGGGGTCAGACCAAGTGGGACCCTGTAGGCTCAGTAGAGAGGATTATGCAGTCAATCCTGCAGTGGGAACAGAGCCTCTGCAAGGTGGAGAGCAGGGCAGTTGGCTGAGCTCTGGGCACCCATGGTGGCCTCCTGTGATGCTGTGTTCTGCTGTAGGTTGGTCCCGAGGGTATCTTGCAGAATGGGGCCGTGGATGACAGTGTGGCCAAGACCAGCCAGTTGCTGGCAGAGCTGAACTTCGAGGAGGATGAAGAGGACACCTATTACACCAAGGACCTCCCCATCCATGCCTGCAGGTAGGCTGCGCCTCAAGAGGCCCCGTTGCTTGTTGGGACATCAAGCTCAGTATTTGATGCCTGGAATTCCCTAAGCTCTGGTTTCTCAATACCCTGGCCCTGTACTTCGGTGGTTAGGAGCTGGAGAGGCGCTGTAGGCACCACCTAGAGCTGTGTAGGGCTCTTCAGAAGCCCCTGGAAAGGGGCACAAACAGTCTGCACCTGTATCCTCATCAGCTCTGAGATTCTTAGCTCTAGCCAAGGCTCCAGCAGGGACACATGAGGGGGTTGCCCTTGCTGGGTGCAGCCAACTCAGCTCTCCTACCCACCTAGGGCCACCACTGGCCCCTTCACCTCTGTGGCCATCTGCTGCTCTCTGAGGCAAACATGGCTTTTCCCTCTGTAGACCATCTTCCTGTGTCTTGGCTCTCCTGGTTTACAGATGGCTTCTGTATGCAGGGAGTTCCCTCTGAGATAGAGCAGAATTTCAGAGAGCTCTGCATTCCTCTGTACCTCATAGGGCCTTCAGTGGCCACCATCCTCCTGGCAAGGCCTGGGAGTTCCCCGGGAGCATAGAGCGCTTCCCCAGGAGCATAGAGTGCTTCCCTGGGAGCCTAATGCTCCCATGGCCACAGCCTTGCTCTTAAAAGCTAAAGACTAGAGCTGCCCTGGACCTGAGGGGCGCTCCTGAAGAGTCTGTGCTGCTTTTGTCCTGCAGTGCCCTACACAGAGTCTCTGCGGAGCTTTCTTGTGTGATAACCAGGGTGACTTTGTTACTGAGCTTGTTGGGATTGACTGTGTGTTTAATGAAAAACTTAAAAATGTTGTAAGAGGAAGGAATTTTATATCTTGCCAAATTAAAACCAGAGGCTCCATCCAGCTCTGACTATTGGTGTTTGGGCTTTTCTAGTTACTGCGGAATACACGACCCTGCCTGCGTGGTTTACTGTAATACCAGCAAAAAGTGGTTCTGCAACGGCCGTGGAAATACTTCTGGCAGGTAGATAACGAGCCAGCATGTGTCTTTAATCAGCATGCACTTGGGCCTGTGTGTAAGTTAACAGTGATGTTGGAGGAGAGCACAGTATGAGGCCACGCTGGTGAACCTGGGCTCCCCCTCTGATTGGTGTTAACTTGAAACAGATGGTGGTGTGTGAACGCCTCAGCGTGTTTACCCTTGATTGATTCTCTGGTTCACTCATTATGTGAGGAGTTTAATTTTCATTCCCAGTTTCTGTTTGTCTCTTGCTGTGAGTTGAGCTGTTGGCATGCCTGACTGTCCTCAGTCCTGAGAGTTCACTCCCAGGCAGGGCTGCGGGTATCCAGGGGAGTCAGGTCCTGAGCAGTGCTGGGTAACGGGCCAGATTTCAAGTCATCAGAGGGAACTGAGTTCCCTGACATCACCCCTTGTTGACAGCAAAATGAACCCTGTCCTCAGGGTGTGATTCCCTACCACATACTGGGGCTCTGTGCTGGTAAGTTCCTTGCTGGTGTCAGGGTCTGATGGAGCCAGGCCTGGTACAGCCTTGCCCCTGGCTTCTAGCAGGTAACGCAGTTTGTTTCTGAGGACATTTTGGAGAAAGCATGTCACAAAACCCTGCGGGCACCTAGGCTTACATTGGGGCAGGGATAGGAAGGGCTATCTGTCCTCTCAGAGATGAAGACTTGCAGTCTGAGCAAGGTGAGGCAGGGCTGGCATTGTTAAAAGGTTTTAAAGTCATCATCAGGGCCACCAGGGTGCTCCTTTCCCATTTTCGGAAGACTCTGGATGGTTTAAGTGTTGCTCTGTTGGCATCAGTTCTTCATGTGCAGAAAAGCAGTTGAGTAAAGATGATAGCCACTAGCCCCAGCTTCCAGTCACCATGGCCAGGAGGGGAAGGCCCATCTGTATGGCCTGAGTGAGGCCTGAACTGGGGCAGCCTGCCACTACTTTAGAGGAGTCAGGCTTGTGGACCCAAGAGCAGCTAAATGTAGCTAGGTGGTCCAGGAACCTCATGGCCACCTGAGGGTTCAGTGAAGCCTATCATGAGATTGTCCAGGAAGACAGGTGGTGGCTATGTCATCAGCAGGGAGGAGTTGTCAGAGCCTAAGGCCCCTTGGAGATGAGGCTGGCTGGTCCCTATGACTAGCCTGGTGTGGGCCACTGTCAAAGTGAGCTGTGTCCTGGCATGTGGGGGCATGGAAGGGGGAGGAGCTGCGGTCCTCAGAGTAGACCCACCTTGCTGCAGAGACAGGACCATGAACTGGGGCTAAAGATAGTGGGAGGGAGCAACATAGAAACTGAGTGAGCGAGCTGTTTTCCTGAAGACGGGTGGGGCTGGCTGGGGCTCCTGGGGTACAGAGGTGGGACATCAGATGGGGCCCTGAGAACTGGAAGAAGTGAGAGACTAGGCTTGGGGTGTTAACTGCTGGTGGTTTCCTGGTCTCAGTCACATTGTAAATCACCTGGTGAGAGCGAAATGCAAGGAGGTGACACTGCACAAGGACGGGCCACTGGGTGAGACCGTGCTGGAGTGCTACAACTGCGGCTGCCGCAACGTCTTCCTGCTGGGCTTCATCCCCGCCAAGGCCGATTCGGTGGTGGTACTACTGTGTAGGTGAGCCAGATGAGGATTGACAGGCCAGAGGCCCGGGGGTTCTGCTCTGTGGATTCTGGCCACATCAGAAATGAAGTCAGGCTGGGTGTGGTGGTGGACACCTTTATTAATCCCAGCACTCAGGAGGTATGAACAGGCTGAGTTCCAGGTTAGCCAGGGCTCCATAGTGAGACCCTGTCTCAAGTAGGAAGGAAGGAAGTCTTACGAGTTTAGGGGTCAGCTCAGTGTGTGCATACAGTGTACTACCAGCTAGTTTGAGGTCTGTGGCCAGGACCACCTCTGTATGTGGACTATATCCTGGGGGGGGTTGGTTCCAGCCATCTTTCTGGCCCCACACCCATGCAGGCAGCCCTGTGCCAGCCAAAGCAGCCTGAAGGACATCAATTGGGACAGCTCTCAGTGGCAACCCCTGATCCAGGACCGATGCTTCCTGTCCTGGCTGGTTAAAATCCCCTCTGAGCAGGAGCAGCTGCGGGCGCGACAGATCACAGCACAGCAGATCAACAAGCTGGAGGAACTGTGGAAGGTGAGTCTGCCCGGACACTGCTAGCTCGAGAGCCTCAAAGAAAGAAAGGACACAGCCTGCCTGGCTGTGCTGCCAGAAGAGATGGGGTCGGGGGCCGGGAACCCTGCTAGCTAGAATCTGTGTGCTTGTTCAGGGGGTATTCTGAACTGGCTGAGTAGTCAAGTTGGGCCCTGATGAGACTTAGATCCCCACCTTCCCCAGTGCCTTACTGGGGCTTGGCTTTGGATGGTCGTCTTGTTCTCTGAACTCAGTTACAAGTGTCAGTTTGGCAACAGCTGACTAGGAACCCAGGTAGTACACAGGTCAAAACTTTTCCAGGATTGTCTAAGTTGGTCCCTTTCCACTTGGGTCCAGTCACAGTGTGCCCAGATTCTGCCTTGTGTGAGGCTGACTGAGGGCAGTGGGCACCAGGGGAGGCCTGGGGGGACATGTGGGTATAGGGAGGATGTGGGCCTGGCTCTCTGGAAGAAGCCTGGAGCTCTGTGGGAGCTGCAGGAAGCAGCTGTGTCTTGTGAGCCTGAGTGTTGTGCTGGACCCTAGAAGTTCTGTAGGCAGGTTTTGGGGGTCAGTGCTGCCAAACATGCCTCTAGCCATTGGTGCAGTCAGGCCAGAAGCAGAGTGGACACTCCTGCCTACGTGAGAGTGCATGGTGCCTTCTGAGTGCCCTTTTACTGGGCTATGGATTAACCGGGGCAAACTTGGTGCTGCTCTTGGCTGTAGGAGAACCCTTCAGCCACCCTGGAGGACCTGGAGAAGCCGGGCGTGGATGAGGAGCCACAGCATGTGCTCCTGCGGTATGAGGACGCCTATCAGTATCAGAACATCTTCGGGCCGCTGGTCAAGCTGGAGGCTGACTATGACAAGAAACTAAAAGAGTCGCAGGTGATGTGGTGTGGCTAGGTCTGTGACAAAACATCTCCCGTGGGGCGGGCACTCTCTATGCCACGAATCTAGATGGAGCCAGGCAGTATGCAGCAGCGTCAGGCCAGGGTTGTGGGCATCTGGAGAGAAGGCTCAAGTGTCTTGTGTCTAAATCTAGTGAGAACCTCTCCTGCCTTGCCTACAGCTCCAAAAGTGTTCCGGGAAGTGGGGCCCAGGCCACCAACCCCCTTCTCTCTGCAGAGCCTGGCGTGTTGAGGCCTCCCAGGGCTTGCTGCAAAGCCTGACACTGGGACTGGCTTTGGTGGGGGGTGGGGGTGTCCTGGTGGCTTCTTTCCCAAAAGTTGGAGTTCCTGGCTGTGGGGTCATGCAGCCTTCCTGAAGGCCCTGGCCTGTGGGGAGCTTGGCCTATGAGCAGGTGGCAGGCTGACAGGGCCCCTGTTTGTCATGTGTCCAGACTCAAGATAACATCACGGTCAGGTGGGACCTGGGCCTCAACAAGAAGAGAATCGCTTTCTTCACCTTGCCCAAGACTGACTCTGGTAATGAGGACTTAGTCATAATTTGGTTAAGAGGTGATTCTAAGTTTTAAAATATTTGTGACCATAAGTAGCCTAAGATTCCTAGTCCCCTCCCCTGTACCATGTCCTTAATGTGAACTCTGCATGATGGAGGCTTCGGCCCTCAGGAACGCACTAACTCTGTCGCCTCCTTCCTACAAGACATGCGACTCATGCAGGGTGACGAGATCTGCCTGCGTTACAAAGGGGACTTGGCGCCCCTGTGGAAAGGGATCGGCCATGTCATCAAGGTCCCTGACAGTATCCTTCACCACATCTGCTGGGACGGTGGGCACAACAGCCAAGCCCCGATTGCCCTCAGAAGTCCCCAGGACCTTAAAACTACAGTCCCTTCTGTTCCATGTGTGTGAGTGTGAATATGACCATGTGCATGATCTGGGGTCTTACCACATGTTGGTTCTATTGCCAATACTGAGAGCTGGTCCCGTAGCTCACAGAGACTAGGTGAAGGGCCCTCGGAAGGTGAGCTGACTTTGCATGGGAAGCAGTCTTAACTCAGCGGCCAGATTATGGCGATGAGATCGCCATTGAACTCCGCAGCAGCGTGGGTGCCCCTGTGGAGGTGACCCACAACTTCCAGGTTGATTTCGTGTGGAAGTCGACCTCCTTTGATAGGTGCGTCTGCTGCCTTTCCAGGGTGTGGGGTCTGTGCTCTGGGAGGCCTGGGGTCACTCCACGACTGTCCTTACAGGATGCAGAGTGCACTGAAGACCTTTGCCGTAGACGAGACTTCCGTGTCAGGGTATATATATCACAAGCTTCTGGGCCATGAGGTGGAGGATGTGGTCATCAAGTGTCAGCTGCCCAAGCGCTTCACAGCACAAGGACTTCCTGACCTCAACCACTCTCAGGTGCTGGCAGGCCCATGAGGGGCTATACAGTGGGGAGCTGCATCGATGGCCCCACTGACAGGTACGCCATTCTCACAGGTATATGCTGTGAAGACTGTGCTGCAGAGACCATTGAGCCTCATCCAGGGCCCGCCAGGCACCGGCAAGACCGTGACATCAGCCACCATTGTCTACCACCTGGCTCGGCAGGGAAATGGGTAGGCACTGTCAAGCCTTGTGGGTACAACAGATGGGTCAGGGCTGCAAGGATGGCTTGTGGCTTGGTGGGCTGCTCTCTCACACTGGTCATGTCCACTTGGGTTCTTTGAAGGCTGCTCAGGAAATGTAGGTTGTGTCGACATGTGGCCACCTTATGTGTCCACAGCCCTCAGGCCTGCCTTTGGTGAAAAAGAGGGCCAAGGGGCATTCAACTGGCAGTCGCTCTGCTTCTTCAACCTTGGCATGGCTGCACTTGCTGGTCACAGCTGTGGAGCTCAGCTGCGGGTTTTGTGCCATCCTGGACAACACTCATGGACTGTCCTGCTCACTGTAGGCCCGTGCTTGTCTGCGCCCCAAGCAACATCGCCGTGGACCAGCTCACAGAGAAGATCCACCAGACAGGACTGAAGGTTGTGCGTCTCTGTGCCAAGAGCCGGGAGGCCATTGATTCCCCTGTGTCCTTTCTGGCACTACACAACCAGATCAGGAATATGGATAGGTGCGTGGTGCCAACCTGGGGTTTGGCATTGGCCTCCCCTTGCTGCCAGTGCTGAGCCCACCTCATGTGCCTACAGCATGCCTGAACTGCAGAAGCTGCAGCAGCTGAAGGATGAGACGGGTGAGCTGTCATCAGCGGATGAGAAGCGGTACCGAGCACTCAAGCGCACAGCTGAGCGAGAGCTGCTCATGGTGAGAATGGAGGCCAGCTGAGCCCTGACAGGGTCATTTTCACTGGGCTGAGAGACCTGGGGCTCATCGGAGTCTGAAGCCTGGATGGCACCTTGGGATGGATAGGGCTTTGCTTTGAGAAGAGGACTTAGAGGTCTTCCCCATCTTTGCCTACAGTTAGGGACACATGGTGACCCAGGTAGTGGCCACTCCCTGCCAGCCTTCCTGAGCCCTATGTTTTGATGGTTCTGGAATATTCTCTCCAGTTCTTTTTTTTGGTCTTTTTGAAGCAGGGTCTCCCTGTAGCCCCAGCTGGCGTGGAACTCACTATGTAGACCAGGCTGGCCTTGAACTCACAGTGATCCGCCTGCCTCTGCCTCCCAAGTGCTGGGACTACAGGTGTGCGCCACCACACCTGGCTATCTCCAGCTCTTTTAATAAGCCAGCCCCTCAAAAGCAGAGTCTCAGCCCTGGGCTGGGATCCCAGCTCTGCACTGCCCTTGAAGGCTTTAACATTCCAACATGCCCCAGTGGGCCAAGAGAGTTCATGCTCACTGTAGCCTGTCCCTTCCAGACTTAGGCCAGGGAGTGGGGGCTTACTTAGTGATTGGGAAACTGGAGCAGAGAATCAAGCATTCCAGACCAACCTGGGCCTCATGGCAAGACCTATCACAAAAGTATATGTGTATACAATGTGCACACACACAGTTGCTGGGAGGGTGTGGAGAAGAACTCTCGGCATCTTATCCAGCCCCCTATGGCCATGGTGAGGTGGACTATACACATGCCCTGATGCCTTCTGCCCTCCCCAGAATGCAGATGTCATCTGCTGCACCTGTGTGGGCGCCGGCGACCCGAGGTTGGCCAAGATGCAGTTCCGTTCCATCCTTATTGATGAGAGCACCCAGGCCACTGAGCCTGAGTGCATGGTGCCTGTGGTCCTTGGTGCCAAGCAGGTGGGTGCCCATTGCCAGTGTAGCCCTGGATGCATCCCTTTGTGCTGCAAGGAGTCTTTGAAGGGGCAGATTCCTGTGTGGCCCAGTGCTGCCAGGCACAGTGTCCACTGAGCAGTTTTCTCCACTGCCCAATGACACTCAGAATTCTGGGTGGTGGAGGTAGACCTGGATCCTTGTCCTGTGGGGGTGGCACTTGGGCTGTCTGGAGCCTGAGGTGTTGATGAGTGTGGCTTCTCACTGCAGCTGATCCTCGTGGGCGACCACTGCCAGCTGGGCCCAGTGGTGATGTGCAAGAAGGCGGCCAAGGCGGGGCTGTCACAGTCGTTGTTTGAGCGCTTGGTGGTGCTGGGCATTCGGCCCATCCGTCTGCAGGTGCAGTACCGCATGCACCCTGCGCTCAGTGCCTTCCCATCTAACATCTTCTACGAGGGCTCATTGCAGAATGGCGTCACTGCAGGTAACACCTGGCTCCAGACGGTTGCTGAGTGGTGGGGTGTTGAGGACTGTAGCTGTTGGCCCCTCCTTGAGATCTTCCCAGTGCTGCCCACACAGGCACTTCCGGTACAGGGTGGTTAGGCCACCAGTGTTCAAGTGTAGGGTTTTTACAGGAAGGCCCTAATGGAACTGGGTCTATAAGCATAGCCCCTACCTGGGAATTTCTGAGGGCCCCCCGCCCCATAGCCTTGCAGCCCTGGCTCTGTGCTGGGTAGTGAGCTGTGCACTTCACAGAGACAAATTGTTCCCCAAACTCCCAAACAGCCCCGGGCTGTGGAGTCCCCCAAGCTTAGATCTGCTCGGACAACAGCAGGGTTTTGCCTGCTATTGTCCCTTGTGATGGTGACCAACTGGGACATCAGCAGACCAGTGTTTACCACAGCACAGGTGCCCGATGGAGAGGAGAGGGTTTGTCTTCTAAGGCCATCTCTGGCAGACTGTTCATCACTAGTCTAGGATCTGTGAAGGGAGAATTTCAAAAAACTCAGGTCACCTGAGCGTAGTGCTGACAATAATGTTGGACTCTGTCCTGACGCCATCCATTGTGGTAACTTCTGCAGTGTCTTTGCCACTATGGCCATTAGGAGGATCTGGGGTTTCAGGCAGATTGCCCGCTTGGCATAGGCAGAGTGGCCTGTGGTGTTCACTGCCTCTGATGTGCTGTAGTGACTAGGAAGCCTTAGTTACTCAGAAAGGGCCCAGTGTCCCATTGTCCGTCTGTGCCCCCCCATACCCAACCGCTTGTGGCCTGGAAGCCTGTTGTCCTCACAGCTGGATTCTGTTGAAGGCCACACAGAAGCAGACCCAGGCCCACTGTCCTCGGTGAAGTCAAGTGGTCTTCATGGGGAAGATAAGGCCACTTTCTGACATCTAGTTAGAAGCTGAGCGTGGTGGCACACCCATTAATCCCAGCACTCAGGAGGAAAAGGCAGGTGGGCCCCTGTGAGATCTAGAGATACCTGTTTGAGTTCCAGGCCAGCCTGAGCTACATAGGCCAGCCAGGGCTACATACACAGCTGGGGAGTAGGGGTGAACAGTGGGGTTCAGCTCACACTGAAAATCAGCATGGATTTTTCAATATCTGAAGGGGCCAACTGGCCCAGGCATAGTCTGCTCAGCTGTGCCCATGTACCCACACCAGTGCCCTGCATGAGGAACCTCAGCCACTGCTACCATTGATGCCACTGTTCTGCTGGGTGTCAGGCTAAGAGAAAGAGGTTCACACTGGTGGGCATGTCACAGCTCTGCTGGCCATGGCCAGTCCTGCTCTGCATGGCCACCCCGGTGTGTGAGCTGCTGCTGGGCCTTTCCTGTTTTCTGCTCTTTGTGGTTACCATGCAGCTGTCCTCAGAAATACTGTGAAGTGTCTGCATGCCTGTGAGGCACTGAGCAGTGTCTAGGTAGCGCTGAACCCCAAGGCAGGCCCTAACCAGCTCCAGAGCTGCCTTTTCCCGCCATAGCCTGCCCACACCAGACTCTGTGTGTACCCCAGGTTTACCCAGCTGGTGCTGCCCTCTGCCCACCAGCTAGATAGACTAGGCTTTGCTCTCCCCTGATATACTATGAGGGCCTGGGGTCATGTTCCCTCTGCGGCCAGCCTCCTATCTACAGCATAGGCTGTAGTTGTGGTGAGGGTCCTTGGTAGTGGGTGATTGTGAGTGAGTTGAGGGCCTAAAAGTGTGAGGATGTACACAGTGGAAAGCCACATCATGGGATGATGACCCTAAGCAGGAAGGGTCTCAGGGCTAGGGCACCAGCTTGGTTCTAGGATGTTGACAGAGGCACCTCCGCACATACTCTTCTCATTTGTGACAGATGAGACTCACTCGTCCCACGAATCAGTCATGGGGCTGTGGATATAGTAAGGAACAGCAGGGAAAGTTCTAGAGGGAATCAGAGTGTCCTTGTGCTGTCAGCTATGCAGTGGTGTCTTACTGTTGCCCTACTCCATTGTGGGCACCTGGCCCAGATGTTCTAGAGGCAGTGCCAGGCCTGCGTGTGTCCTTGAGGCCCTCAGCATGTGTGTGGTTGAAGTGGCTGGGGCTTGTCTTTCTGGTGTAACATGCTGTCTTTCCCTAATGCAGCGGACCGTGTCAAGAAGGGCTTTGACTTTCAGTGGCCACAGCCTGACAAGCCCATGTTCTTCTATGTGACCCAGGGCCAGGAGGAGATTGCCAGCTCTGGCACATCCTACCTTAACAGGTGTGCATCGCGGGGCCCTGTCAGGGTCTGTGGAACTCTGCACCTGTGACATGGAGCTTGTTCACCCTCATTTCTATTCAGACCCTAAACCTACAGCATTTTATTCCCCACATCTCCCTGTAGCTGCATGTGAGGTGTTGTGTTTCTCCTGGTACCCTGGGAGAGAGGAGGGGTGGGTGACACTCAGCTGCCAAGTGGTGCCGTTGCCCCTGGGTTGCCAGAGGTCCAGCAGGGCTGGCAGACCCATCACTGAAAGCCAGGCATTCTCAGGACGGAAGCAGCCAACGTGGAGAAGATCACCACAAAGCTGTTGAAGGCAGGTGCCAAGCCGGACCAGATTGGCATCATCACACCCTATGAGGGCCAGCGCTCCTACCTGGTGCAGTACATGCAGTTCAGCGGCTCCCTGCACACCAAGCTCTACCAGGTACACTGTCTATACACCTTGCCTTGGGTACCCTGAGGATTGCCTGTCCCTACTGATCTCAGAACCCTGCCCTCAGAATCAAGGCTGAGCAGGTACTGGCACCTGATGTGCCTAGAGCTCCATCCCAAGGAGAGTTGTCCTCTGACCCCCCACATCCATGTGCAGCCACACACACATACACACTAAATGGAATAAATGGAATTTTTTTTAAGTGCCCCGGAGCTGGAGACACATGAGTCAGTAATTAAGAGCACATATTGCTCTTTCAGAGGACCAGAATTCAGTTGTAGTACCCACGTCGGGCCGTTCACAACTGTCTGTAACTCCAGCTCCAGGGGGACCTGACACCTCTGGCTTCTGCACCCACATGCACATGTACACATAATAAAATAAAATCTCTGCCGGGCGTGGGGGCGCACGCCTTTAATCCCAGCACTCGGGAGGCAGTTCAAGGCCAGCCTGGTCTACATAGTTCCAGGACAGCTGAGGCTACAGGGAGACCTGTCTCCAAAAGACCAAAAATAAAATAAAAATCTCTCTCTTTTTTTTGGGGGGGGGGTGGTCTTTTTGAGACAGGATCTCCCTGTAGTCACAGCTGGCCTGGATTCACTGGAGGCCAGGTTGGCCTCGAACACCAAGAGATCTACCTGCCTCTGCTTCCTGAGTGCTAGGATATTAAAGGCATGTAACACCACCCTAGCACAAATCTTTTTTAAAATATAAAAAACAGGACTGGAGAGATGGCTCAGTAGTTAAGAGCACTGACTGCTTTTGCAGAGGACTCGGGTTTGATTCCCAGCAGCTGCATGGGAACCATATCTAAATCCAATTCCAGGGGATCTAATGCCTTAGTCTGACCTCCAAGGGCATTGCTTTTTTTTTTTTGCTGGCCTGGCATTCACTGTGTAGACCAAGCTGGCCTCAATCTCAAAGATTCACCTACCTCTGCCTCCTGAGGTGCTGGGACTAAAGGCATGTGTGAACATGCCTGGCTAAAAATAATATATATATATATATTTTTGTCTTTTTGAGACAGTGTCTCTCTGTAGCCCCAGCTGTCCTGGAACTCACTATGTAGACCAGGCTGGCCTTGAACTGCCTCCCGAGTGCTGGGATTAAAGGTGTGTACCACCACTCCCGGCCCAATAATATTTTTTAAAAAATAAAATTCCCTTAAGTTTGAGTCAGCCAAATGCTCCACAGGTCAGAGCCAAGAGCCACAGTATACCAGAGTGACCTTGGGGAGGTCTTTGGGCAAATGTAGAAAGCATTCCAGGGGCAGTGGTGCTCGCCTAAGTGTATGTGACATTTACACTGTTAACCAACACGAAGCACAGTGTCCTCAGTATGGTATAGGCCCAGTCCCAGATAAATCTGTTCATGGAGCGTACCAGACACTGCACCGATAGTGGGCACTATGAGCCTGCCCTGTTCCTCGACTTCCCTATGATGGGCCTGGGGAGACTCTGTCACTAAGGACTTCAGAAAACAGGCATGCTGAGTGGCTCATCTGTCCTGTATGAAGCCTTGTGTCTCCCCAGCATGTCAACAGAAAACAGGAGAGTGAGGGCAGGGGTTCAGGCCCAGGACTGGGTCTCCTGCTTGACAGTAGCTTTCCATGGCCTGACTTGATATGGGCCACATGAGTTGTGCACCTCCACCCGTTGATAGCACACTGTCCCCTTCAGGAGGTGGAGATCGCCAGCGTGGATGCCTTCCAGGGTCGTGAGAAGGACTTCATCATCCTGTCCTGTGTGCGGGCCAACGAGCACCAGGGCATTGGCTTCCTCAATGACCCAAGGCGGCTCAATGTGGCACTTACCAGAGCCAGGTAGGCCAGTGGTGGGCTCCCTCCCCTCCCACCAACCTACCATCTGCTCTGTAGGCAGAGCTCAAGGCCCAGTGCAGTGTTTGGAGTTCTTGACACCCAGCTGCTCACATTCAGGGGCTGACTGTAGACCACAGGAGTTGGTGGATACCACCACAGGGTCTCCAGTGCACCTGCTGCTGTTGCCACTGCAGGTATGGTGTGATCATTGTGGGTAACCCGAAGGCACTGTCAAAGCAGCCACTGTGGAACCACCTTCTGAGCTACTACAAGGAGCAGAAGGCACTGGTGGAGGGCCCGCTCAACAACCTGCGAGAGAGCCTCATGCAGTTCAGCAAGCCACGCAAGCTCGTCAACACAGTCAACCCGGTGAGTTCCACCCAGTGCCTGGGAAAGGCTGGGAGCCATCCATGTGAGCCCCTTGTTTACTGACACATTCCTCACCTGTGTGCCACCGTGCAGGGGGCCCGCTTCATGACCACAGCCATGTATGATGCGCGTGAGGCCATTATCCCTGGATCTGTCTATGACCGCAGCAGCCAGGGTGAGTCTCCATGGGGACTAGGCCCATGTGTTGATCTTCCCATGTCCGAGCCTGAACCTCTCACCCTGTGGGTGGCCTCCCAGCCTTAGTACTTTGCTTCTGGCTGAAATCTCTCAGTGAGTTTGTGACTTTATCAGCTAGACCCTCAGCCCCCACCACGTAGGCCTCTGCTGCCTAGAAGCTTCCAAGCTGCCTAGAAATTTGCCTCATGACCAGACCTTCCCCCCCCCACCCCCCATCATCATCATCATCACCATCACCATCCCTGCCCCTCTCCTTGAACCTTACATGGCAGCTACACATGGCCTTCCTGTGCTGGCCTGCTGGTCTGGCTGGGCAGTGATGTGCCAGCCTCAGCTTGGGTGAACTTGCTATAACCATGGCCAATAACTTCCTACAGCCAGTGTCTACTGTGTCCCTGTGCTCACTAGAGCCAGGCAGAGCCTTGAGCAGTGACACTTGGCCTCCCCTCCCCACTTAGGGAGGCTGTGCAGCCTACCTAGGGCACCCAGCCTTCTGCCTTGAGCTGAGTACAGGACCCCAGTTGCTAGTGGGTGTAGAGCAGAGCATGGAGCGAAAGCATGGAGGTGTTGAACACGAGGTGCTTTAGTTTTTGTGTCCTGGTTGCCAGTCCTGGCCTAGAAGCCGCTCAATATCTGTGGGTCTGACACGCCATGTCTTGCAGGCCGGCCCTCAAACATGTACTTCCAGACCCACGACCAAATTGGCATGATAAGTGCAGGCCCCAGCCATGTGGCTGCCATGAACATCCCCATCCCCTTCAACCTGGTTATGCCCCCCATGCCACCACCCGGATACTTCGGACAAGCCAACGGACCGGCTACAGGTGAGTCGGGGTCCTATCACCTTCCTAGGGTCCCCCATATTTGCTGCCACTCCTGACTGACAGGGTAGGAGGGAAGGTTGCTATGAGGCTGGGACTGTTATCAGTCACCTGTGCTGCTGTTTTTCAGGCCGGGGTACTCCGAAAAGCAAGACTGGCCGTGGAGGCCGGCAGAAGAACCGTTTTGGGCTTCCTGGGCCCAGCCAGACCACCCTTCCCAATAGCCAGGCCAGCCAGGATGTGGTCTCCCAGCCCTTCTCACAAGGCGCCCTCACACAGGGATATGTGTCCATGAGCCAACCCTCCCAGATGAGCCAGCCCGGCCTCTCCCAGCCTGAGCTGTCCCAGGTGGGCCCCATGTACTCAGCCTCACTGTAGTGCTGTGGTGGGCTGGAGGTGGGGGGATAGGGGAATAGGGGTGGGGACATGAGCCCAGAACATTGTTATCTGCTGTCTTTCTGGAGGGTGTATCCCTGTTGGCCATGCTGTCCTATGGTCTCTGGTCTTTCACCCTACTGCTCAGGTTGCAACAGGGTTTTCCAGATTCTGGGGCCTTTCAGGCCTGGCTCACTCCCTGGCTTCACCTTTCAGGACAGTTACCTTGGCGATGAGTTTAAATCACAGATTGACGTGGCACTGTCACAAGACTCCACGTATCAGGGAGAGCGGGCATACCAGCACGGCGGGGTCACTGGGCTGTCCCAGTACTAGAAGGTAAGTGCCTGGGCCACTCAACACCTGTGCCCCAGCACAGACCCCCTCCTGCCCAGAGTGGGTGTGGGGTGTGGTGGTCGGTGGCTTGTCCAACTGGCCTGACCATTCTCATCCTGTCCCTGACCACAGGTGGCAGAAGAAGAGCTAAGCTATGTGGCTTAGTCTATCAGCATCTTATTCTGGGTAATAAAAAATAAAAATAAATGGATACCTGTTTTCCACTGCTAAAACTGAAGCACCACTGTGTGAGCAGCAGAGAGGAGAGAGGAGAGGAGAGGAGAGGAGGAGCGAGAGAGCGAGCGGTCAGCGGCCAGGGAGGACGACGGACGCCGAGGAGCGAGCGCCCCCTGCGGGCGGCCAGAGGAGAGGAGGCCCGCGCGGCCTGCACGAGGCCGGCCCAGCGCGGCCCTGGAGGGAGAGACCTCGGCAGAGGAGCCTGCCCTCGGTTCTTTTTCTTTGTTTCTCTTGATTGAAAGGGGACTACGTTTTAGCAGGACGGACTTCGCCTTTCTGTGCCCCTGCGGGCGGCCAGGAGCGGCAGTGCAGTCGCAGCGCCACGCCACGGGGGTTTCGTTCAAAGAAAATACGGTGTTTGGGGTTTTTCTGTTTGTTTTTGGTTTCTCTCCCCCCCCCCCCAAAGATTCTTTCCACGGGGTGCTAAAGTGTGCTGTGTCAG